AATACCGCCCATCCGCCATGCCAGCCGAAAGTGTTGCCGACCCTCTAGGCGCTGGCCGCACGCGGCTCAGTGGGCGGGAAGGCCGGCGCAGGCGGCCAAAACTCTAGAAGCGTTTTGGGATTCAGAGTCTCTAAATGGGACCAGAACCGATCAAGTGCACTTGGAGATCTTATTGTGTGCTTCTCTACATTTCATTTTATATAGAGAAAAGATCTCGGCATGTTCAACACATCAGGTCAATTGCTGGGTAGTGTGAAAGCTCAGCAAGTATTACTAAAACTTCACAAAAATGCTGAGAATTTTAAATTTAAGGATAGCAAGTAAGAACAAAACCAGAAACAAGACATTGCTCCAATGTTGAATGCAATATTCTTAACGAATTTAAGGGGGGAGACTCGTCTTTAACACCATAATTTTAGCAAATTTCAGGCTTACATGAAAACTATTTCCAATAGATTTGAGGGTCAGTGGGGTTTTCCAATAAAAAGCTGGTTCTTTAAGGGGAGGTTCTGGTGAAAATGCTATTTTCTCCTAAATAGGTCCCACTGTGAAAATTTGTTAAAAATTTGATGTCTTATCAAGTAGTTATTAAAATTTTTCATTGGGTAGGCACATTCTATGCCCTGAATCCAGTCGCAGAGCCTTTTTCTCCCATTTAGGCTATAACTTTAAAAATCTTCTTGCGCATACTATTTTGTCGTAAAAGGTTGGCTTAGACATTTTTCACTTCTTCGATTCATTTTTTAAAAATGCCGGCATGCCCATCTCAAAATGTCAATTGCATTTTTATTCACAAGCTTTCTAACCAAGCATTTCACTAAAATTGATCAAAAATGTACAAAATAGACAAATTTCAGGGACTTTTCAGCTTAAAAAGCTAATAATTAATAATATAATGGAAGTTTTGAGCTATGCATGCCGGAATCTTTTGAAAATGAGTCGAAGAAGTGAAAAATGTCAAGGTCAACCTTTTACGACAAAATAGTATGCGCAAGGAGATTTTTTAAGATACAGCCAAAATAGGCTCAAAAAGACTCTTCGACTGGGTTTACAGCCTGGCATGTGCCTTCAAAAGTCAAATTTTAGTCTCCCCAATGAAAAATTTTATATTCCAAACAAATTATGACTGTAGGATCCATTTGGAAAATGGCAAGATTTTCACCAGAACCTCCCCTTAAGGTTCATTTTGGAAAAAAAAGTTTGACTCTAGGCCTCATAACCTAGGATCTGTAATCTTTCTGCCAAACCTCGAAAATACGACAAAAATTCACTGCGCGCATGATTTTTGGATAATGAGGCATCATATCATAAATGTCTTTGTTGCTCCTTCAAAAGGACTCCCGGCACTCTAGATTGAACTAGGATAATTGAAATAGGTGGTTCCTAAGTGCCTGAAACTTACATTTTAAGGTGTACGAAAGAAAGCATTCAAATTTAAGCATTTCCATAACCGTTTTCGGCCACTTCCGCTTGTCCGATTGAAGATATCCTAGTTCAGACTGACGGCCTTATGGAGGTGAAACATTGGAAAAATTATGAAGTCAATACAATCAACGGTCTGGCTTAAATCGTGCGCGCAAGACCCAAAATATTGCAATTGAGTAAAATAGCTCCAAAGTTTGAACGGTCTAACCTATCCTGTGGAAAATAAATTACAAAATGTCGTCCTTTGGCCAAACGGTTTTGAATTTCAAAACTAGCCAGCCACCCAATTCAAGGGTTTGACACAAAGAATTCAAAAAACTCAAAAACAAAAATCTGATTTTTTGAAGGAGAATGACGAGTCTCCCCCCTTAATAGTACAATGCATTGATATCGCACCATACGTGCCATGCCATAGCCTTACGTCTGAAATTCCCGTACGAAAATTCCCTTTGCCAATGCATGGGAAGTCGGCGTGACTTTATTTTGAGAAGTCAAAAAAAAAAATCATCGGCCAAATTTGGGTAACGGACACAGGGGGTCCGTGGCCCTGAAAGAAAGTCATCAGGGACCCACCTCACAACGAAGCCGACGACGCCAACTCAAATTTGGGCAACAAAACGCGTGTTACCAAATGATCCATGAAGCGGAAGAAGGGAATAATTCGACTTATCTCCTAATTGACTTTACATCTGTGCCTCAGGATGGTTTGCATCATTACACCAAATTGGTTGACCCAATTCCTAACAGTTAAAGAGAAAATCCACATAAAAAATGGATCTAAGTCAACTTGACCCCTTTTACGGTCTACATTTTATCGGAAAATGGAGGTTACTCAACCGAAGTCCACATAACTCCATTGCACAAAATGGCAAAAGGAGATAACTCAACTTGTGTCTTTATGAATGTAATGTAAGAAGAATCGATTCAACTTAACTCCCATCACTAGTTGGAAAAAAGAGGTGACTCCAAAAATGTACCACAGAAATACAGACTCTACGCAGACCTCAGCTCCACTGGAATTGTCTCCAAATTCCGCCTTGTTTGGGAGAAGTAAGTAAACATGGTTCATTCCAACGTAAAGATTAAAACCACAGAAATCGTCTACAGAGCGATGCTACACTTTTGAAAATTTTCATAGCTATTTCCTAGGCTTCCTTGACAAAAATGCAATTGCATCATTCATCTGATTGGATTCAGTTTACCCTGCAAACAGTTTTTAGTGTCTCCTGAAAAACGATGAAAATTGAGTTATTCCCTTCTTCCGCGTCATGGATCAAATATCGGGTGACTTTTTCGTCACCCAAAATGAGGAAACAAAGTTACATCTCTCCTGCCTCAGTGATATAATGCCCCCGTCCCCACCTACCTCCAGCGGGGCCGCTGCAGACTGCGCGTGCCGCGGCTCCCAGTGCACGTCCACGCCGCTCCAGGTCCGAGGGTCGCGCGACAGCGACAGCCACTTCTTGCACACCAGCGGCACCGCGTCCAGGAGCGACGCGCCGTCCCCCACCAGGGACAGCACGTCGAGGAGCAGCTCGTCCGGAAGGGTGTCCATCGCACTGCCGAAATGTCGGTTGCCGCGTCACTCTAAATGTCTTTGAGGAGAAATTTACCACAGGGGTCCTATTGTCCTATTCACAAGAACTTATCTGGGCGTTCCCATTCAAAGAATCTTATCAGCAAAGCAAGCGAATTTCACCAAGTTTGATCATTTGAGGCAGCTACAAATCAAAATAATTTGGGATTGTAGTTACACAAACTTGAAGATGAAAGATCGAAGAAATTAACGGTGTGTGTGATCGATTCTCACGTTTCGGGGTAGTTTTGGCGTCTCTGATTTGCCGAAAGTGAGAAATATCCAATTAAGTTTTTTCTGATTATTAGGGTCCTGGATGATACTTGAGTTATGGCAATGGTATTTATAGTAAAGACCTTGTACTATCTTTCTAAAAACATGAGCCATAAGGTATTCCCATACGATTTAGTGGGTGTTTTGATCACGGAAATTACGTTATCGCGGAAGTTACAAAGTGTGAAAATCGGCTTTAACGGCTGACTCGGGCTTGCTGTGGCTTAAAAGTCGTTCCAGGGTCAAATGATACTCTAAGCCCGACATTTAAGCGGAAATTTTTTTCACCTAGTGCTGCTGCAACATTGGGTAAAGGGTGCCACGGAAGTTACAGGTAATTGTTGATACACGCCATTTTATAATGCTCTAGCCCGCTTTGAGACCGTGTACAGCATCTTAGATTTCCGCGACCCATGCAATTATATCCCAGGGACTCCACTTTGATGGCTTGTGTCATGGAAAGTTAAAAGTTTGGCTTGGGGAGAAGCCCAGAGCTGCCTTTTCGAAATTTGTGTAGTGGAATTTAATATACGGTGGACATTTTTCGTTGCAGCATAAGTACCTTTAAAAGAAGTCTGGCGTATTGGTCTTCGGTTGAAATTAGCTCGAGACATGCCAAGCTTCGAATCCCCATCGACAGTTGGCAGCATTTTCGAACCACACCGCCACAATGGGTGCGGAAAGTTCGAGTATGTTCTCTTTGGACAATCACGGAAGTTACATTTAGGGTATCCCAAACGCTGCGTAGACCAATCCAACGAACGTGAACTTTTCGAAATGTGTGCGTTTAGTGGGCAATGGCCCTCCCTAACATCAGAAACAAACCCCATGTCGATATCTGCGCTCGTTTGGGCACAGGAGTCAGAAGAAACGAAACTACCCCGAAACGTGAGAATCGCTCGTGTAGAAATATGTTCCGCTTACCCTCTTCTCCGTCCCAAATGGTCAAACTTAGTGAAATTCGCGTGCGTTGCGTTGCAGATAAGACTCTTTGAATAGGAGCGCCCAGATAAGATCTTTTGAATAGGGCCCGTCAATTTACACGAAGGAAAAAGCACAAGCTAAATACGAACGTAGGTTTTTAGGTTCGGTGATGTAAACTTTATCACCCTAATTGGGGTGCTACCTAGGCCAATTATGTGGCACCGATCTAGATTCTTCCATTCTCAATGCACATCACCAATCGAGGTGATGATTTTGCTGTCACGTCCTTGCAATTAGTAAAAAACCTATGACGAAAATGTCATCGATTTGTAATAACATTAATTCTTATAATTCTTAAGTGACGGAAAATGTCAGCCACAATTTTGTCGTGAAGTGATAACCTTTTTATTGGCCGAGTGATCGCGAAGCCTGTTTCGGATGGGGTTGAAAAGTTTTGTCGGTCTGTCAGCACTACTCCTTCAACATTCTCAGTTCCATCACCTATTTTCACGAAACTTTAGAATTTTATAGCGTGCTAGGGTAAATGCATAACGGCAATTGCAGTAAGTGGATCCATTCCGAACAACAGCAAATTCGGCCAAACCGTGGTATGAACGTTTCTCATGCCAGTTCACCCTATTCGTGGCCCGATCCTTGCCCATGCGCCCTGCCCAGGTGTTGCTACCCGCTATAAAATTTCGACATTCAAAATTTCCTAGTAGTGCTGACGACGCACGGTCGTTAACCATGACGCACCTGTCTTTCCGTCACAAGAAGTCGTGCGTGCCGCGCAGACGACACGTACTCTGGGCACGACTCTCTCGTCTTTCCTTCACGGCGAACAGTTTTATCGACAATATAAAGCGCCCTGCTTGTTAGCTCTCAGCTCTTGCTGACGAGCGAGGGTCCCTGGTGGGTTCTGCAACCTGCAAGGTAAGCGCACACTAAACAAGCTAGGGCCCGCCCTTCCGTCGAACCGAGTTGCCAGCTCCGCTTCGCTGCGCCGGCAACTCGGTTCGACAGGGGGCCGGCCCAGCTTGGCCTGCCGGCGGCCTTTCCTCGGGCCTTCGGCCCTCGCATCAGACCCAACCTGGCCAGTCGAAGACCCGGGCCTTCGGCCCGCTCGCATCACACACACCGTGAGCGGGTAAAGCAAAGTTATCGATGTACCATCGTGACTTAGGCCCGCCTTTCTATTCACAATATGCAATAGTCCTTACACTTTTTACTCCAACTGTCCTTAGAATATGCCCATTTCATTTGTCTCTTCGCCCTCATTCCGAAAATACCCATATTTGCCATGCTACTGCAACACCTTGCAATAGAGGCACAGCAGGAGCGCAAAACGAGTCCGTCGCACTTTTTCCCATAACTCATGAAGGCGGGCTCCTGGACCCCCCTTCCGACCCCTCGTTGAAGAGGTCTTGCCAAGACCTATCCAAAACTTAAGTAAAAATTTTCAGTCGGTCGACCCCATGTGACTAATAGACGAAGTCGGGCTCCTGGACCCCCTTTCCGACCCCTCGTTGAAAAGGTCTTGCTGAGACCAATCGAAATCTGCAATACATTTTTTTAGTCGGTCGACCCCCTTTTTTGAAGATCCTGATCTGGCCAACTTGTAAAAGCGGCCGATGGGGTCGGGACCAGGTCCATTCATCTTGTCTCGTCGCCCCGATTCCAAAAATACCCCTATGTGCCCTGCTAGCACCAATAATGGCGGAAATCCCCCTCCCGCTCATGTAAACCATGATGCACCTGCAGCAGCCCTTGTGCGACCCGGACGGGATTTGCACCACCGGATTATTTGTTTGGACGGTACTCCTGAAGTACCCCCCAAATCTGGTTACTCTAGCTCAACTCCTTCCTTGTACACAGACGCCAACAACAACAACTACAACAACAACAACACACAGACACAAAGGCAAATGCATAGGCCCTCCCCCTATTTTTTGAATAGAAGGGCGGGCCAAAAATCTGCGAAGAATCGCTTCGTGATACAAAGGAAATGCAAGGCATTGCAAAATCCGCGAAGAAATGCTTCGAATTATCACGCAAAATCCTTCGTAATACGAAGCAATTCTATAATGCCATCATTTTCTTCGTAGCTACGAAGCAAATGCTTTGTACGTTTTTAAGAGGGCGTCGTGCACACTTAAAAAAATGAGTTTCGAATCCGAGAAAATTGGTATCAGATTAAGCTGGTAAAACAAAGGTATAAAAACTACGGCCTAGGGCATTATGCTTTTGGGAAACACTGGTAAAACGTAAACGTAGTATCACCCTCTGTTATCAACACTGTGGCAAAAAACTACGGAAAATTCTGTGAACAGCTTAATTCTCCGTAGACTTCTTGTCAGTATTCTCCGTAGGCTCTTACAGTATTTTCCGTAGGACCGCACAGTATTCTCCGTAGGACCTTACAGTGATCTCCGTAGGACTATACAGTCTTCCAGGTCCTACGGAGAATACTGTGCGGCCCTACGGAGAATACTGTAAGAGCCTACGGAGAATATTGAAAAGAGGGCTACGGAGAATCCTGGCAAAAAAATTAACAGAATTTTCCGAACCTTTTTGCCACAGTGAAGCGTAGCGTTAACAGTTTGTGTTTGTAATCAAGCGTAACAAGCTCTTTCGCCAAGATTACCCCTACCTAAATGCATGGGGGAATTTCAAGAGAATGCTTCATTTCAAGCGCAACTTCATGCTTGACTCAAGCATGGAGATACGCTTTAATTTTACCAGTGGAGAGCATAAACATTATGCCTGAAGTCCTTTACCTTTTCACTCTCTTCACAAGGGCATATTCAAGACGTTTCAGGTCGTTTCAGTGGCGTAAATCGTTTACGCCCGGAAAGAGCATAGTGTCACCAGTGAATTGAAATGCTCTTGGACAACCCGAGAGCATCTCTTGATGAGACAAATGCTCTCGGATTAAGAACTCATTTATTCAGTGCGAACGCCGTACTTTCACTGTGGCAAAAAGCTACGGAAAGTTCTGTTAATTTTTTTGCCAGGATTCTCCGTAGCCCTCTTATCAATATTCTCCGTAGGCTCTTACAGTATTTTCCGTAGGCTCTTACAGTATTCTCCGTAGGACCTGGAAGACTGTAAAGGCCTACGGAGAACACTGTAAGGTCCTACGGAGAATACTGTACGGTCCTACGGAAAATACTGTAAGAGCCTACGGAGAATATTGATAAGGTGGCTACGGAGAATTACCACAAGCTGTTTACAGAATTTTCTGTAGCTTTTTGCCACAGTGAATTATCACTCGTCGTTCCTAGGCGCGGGTCCAGGAATATGGGTTGGGGGGGGGGGGGAAGCAATGTCACAAAAGTTGCCTACCTAGAGGCGCAGTGCGCGACTTTTTGCCTACCTTTCAGGCGGCTTCGCCTTACAGGAAGGGCGACCCCTCTCCCCCCGTTCGTTCTGTAGGAAAAGGTTTAGGAAAATCTTCACGGTTTGCAACTTCTTGAACAGCAGCTTGCGTGTCGTGGCCGTCTCAACTCATCGGCCATGCTTCGCCTCTTCGTTCTGGTGGCCGTGCTAGGCGTGGCCGCTGCCGCCACCGACTACTGCAAGCTGTGCCCTGACCACGTCATGTGCAAATACCCCAGCGCCTCACCGGGGAAGGCGTGCAAAAACTACAAGGTATACCGCGGTTTGATGGCCCGCCAGGGAACGAGATGCAACGAATCAAACATTCTCGCTTGGGCGCGAATACTAAAATACATTTTTTTGGTGAACCATATAGAAGCCAACCATCTCGGCCAGCGACAAGGAACTCATCGTGCGGCTGCACAACGAGTACCGTAACAAGGTGGCGTTGGGGCAGGAGAAGCGCGGCAAGAACAACCCCCAGCCGTCTGCTTCGAATATGAGGAAAATAGTAAGTGCGATTGTTGCCATCGAGGAAGCTACGTAGGATTTGTGCTTATCATGGAATGGGTCTCAGGACTTGACATCACACCTTAAAGTGATGTGTGAATGGGAACTTATATACCAATGGTCTGAGGTGGTTGAGACCTTAGGGCGTTTTGGACCTAGGTAGGAACCAACCAAATTTCATGCAAATCTACCCACCCATTTAGCCACAGTAGGCTGTTTTCATTGAAATTAAGCGTTTAGTAGAAAGGTCAGCCACGCAAAGTTTTTTGACTGAATGATGTGAAATTTGCCTAGACCCATATACTTTACTGTAACAGAGTGATATTTGACCTTTATTTTTCGTTTTGACAGAGCAAACTTAACCATTTTTTTCATATAATAAAATTAGTCTTTTTCTCCAGTTAAACGATTTGAGACAAATGCCAGCTATTTGAAAAATCTCTCTGTCATCATTTTAATCAATTTTGGTACAAATTTTCGCCCACACCTCACCTTAACCTAATGCAAAGTTTCCATGTGCTTGTGCTTACAAAAATGCGTACCTAACCGGACCACGAGGCTACTTAGGCCCAGATGTTGCGTACTTACATCGACTTAGATTTCCTTGCAAGCCGATGAGGCAGCTTGCCCTTACACTCTCATTCCAGGAACGTGACATCACGTTGATACGAACGTGATAAAATGTAACGTTCGTTTGAGCATTGTGTCACGTTCGTTTCAACAGCTGATTTTTGGCCAATTCACAACCAAACGAATGTGACACAATGCTCAAACGAACGTGACATTTTGTCACGTTCGTTTCAACGTGATGTCACGTTCCTGGAATGAGAGTGTAATTGGCCCAGGTATCGGAAGTTTACATCCGTGTTGACGGCGAGCATTAGTTAACGAGAACGGGGACTGAGTGTTATTCGTTCCGTGTTGTCTTATTCTTGCAGTCATGGGACGACGAGATCGCTACCTATGCTCAGCGCTGGGCGGATCAGTGCACCTTCGAACATGATACGTGCCACACGACCAGTAAGTAAAAGTTGTTATTTTCTGTCAAGTTTGTTTTTCTCAGGTTTTAAGGACGTAAGGGTGGCGGTCCATTTCGAGAAGGCTTTTCCGAATAAGCGTTGGCCCCGTCAGGCGTCGCCAGACTGCAGCCAGGTCAGGCAGGGCCACGCAGACACTACAGCACAATAGCTTTTATTGCCCCCCGACCGGAGAGGGGCAACGGCAACTCGCCTCCGGAGCTGGGCTCCGATGAGCAGCCGAGCAGTTTTGCTTGTCCGGCCAATCGGCTGTAATTTTTCTAAGTCCGTGTTCATAGTAAAATGACAATTTTTGACAACGCTACCAAAATGCTTGTCACGAAACGGTTCACATTTCAGTGTAGGTGTGAAATGCAGTTTGTCCTGCTTCGTCAAAATGATCGCTCGAATTCAAATTTTGCATGAATAGATCCAGAATTTTGTCCCGCGTGCATTGGTCATCGTTGCAAACATGTCAAGCGACGCGTTAGAAATTTGACTCTCTGGACTAGGCCAGGTAGTCGCCCCCTGTCTATTGTGTCGAGGGCCTCATTCACTGCCGGCGGCTCGTCGCACCGAAGCGAGGATGGTGACAAGAGGATTTATTGACCCTCAACCCCAGACTGAAATTTTTTGAACGGCCCGTTTTTCAGCGTCCAATCGGACAGAAATGGTTTTCTCGCAAAATCGCGGTTCCAATGGTACTTTGAAAAATAGTCCTGCGACAATTTTGACCGAAGCTTTGACCTCCCGTTTTGCAAAAGTTGGAGATGGCTCCGCACTGGCTGCAGTCCGGTCCCAGACGGCACGCGGCGGCGAGGGTCTGGGGCTCGCTTTGTTCCCCGGCTGGCTACCTGCAGCGGGGGCTGCTTCGGAAACAAGTCGATGCGAGAAAGACAAGACATCGCTTGTCTCTCTCTCCTGTTGAAACGACAGCAAATATACTTGATTTTCGGACCCAGGTTCTGGATGAACCGTTTGTTCCAGCGACTTGGAACTTTTTGCAATCAATAGAGGAAAGTCGTGGCTGTGAGGTAAAGGTTTTTCAACCTCCTCACTCTTGTAGTTTAGTCGCTGCGCACTTCACAAAACTGTCCATTTTCAAGGCGTTCCAGGAGTCTTCCCTTGAACCCGATCACCGCGAAATTTCTTTACATCATACCTGTGGTTGTCTTCTACAAGCATGCGCAATTTCACTATGCTCCTCCCATTGGTTCTCCAGGAACCTGGGTCCGAAAATGGCGAAAAACGCACAATTTTCGAACTTGTAGGCATCGTTACGCCCAAACTAAGCGTCACAGAGGAAAACCGCTCGGCAGGATTAGAAAACACACCCAACACTATCAAATGCCGAAAAAAAAATTTTGCCACCCGTACGCCCTTAAGGGGAGGTGGGGATTTTCAAAACAATTAGGAATGAAACTCAGCAATACGCAATCGGCTGCTTGCAATATTTGGGGCGTAATAATAAAAGGTTTAAATTAGCGCTTTTCTGCTCTTGTTGTCTGAAGTAATTCGATTCGGAAATTTGTTAATTGATTTCGAAATACTGGCACATTACTAACTATGACTATCCTCCTTTGAACTCAACAGAGGACGGAACCGTGTCTGGACAAAACCTGCTCCTCGGTGGTCTTGCCCCTAACCAGACCAAACCCGATTGGACAGCAGCTGTGAAGATATGGTACGAGGAAGTAAAAGATCGTGATGGGTCTCTCAACACCAAGCCGTTCAAGTAAGTGTTCCTTCGGACTTCGTAATTTTTCTTGCTTATGATCAGTCTCCAGGAAGTGCGCATGCGCCACAATAGTTTGACTCCCTGTACTCCACTGAACCTTGGAGTGCGCTCTTTCTTGAAGTCCTGCGAAGAAAACTAACTGCATTTCTTCATAATACCTAGAATTTTGCGCCAAAATATTATGGAGCCATATTTTCCTCGTCGTGTGAAGTTTTCAAACTCTGTACCTTACGAAGAACAGCCAAAATAGATTCGTAATGTAAAAAAATGAGTTCGTGTTATGTTCGCGCAAATTTCTTCGCAAATTGCAGCGAAATTCACCGCAAGGATTTTGGAGTGCGGAGCTCAGAAAAAACGCTAGAAATTTCTGTATGTGGTCACAATTTTCGGACGGAAACCTGCCTCTGGAACTGCAGTCATAGTAGTATAAATACCCCCAGGTCCCCCAGCGCCATCTTGATTCCCCCAGGTCACCTGTCCTAACCTACCCTTGGGAAGGGTCAAAAATGGGGCATTTTTGGAAAAAAAAAATTTTGTCATTTTTTGTGGATTTTTTTTGGAGGTGAAGATGAGGGCTCTAACCCAACCTAACCTAAGCTAGGGGGTGGGCCTAACCTACCCTTCAACCCCCCAGGGGGCGTTTGGGGCGATCAGGACTGTGAGGCGCGTGAGGTGCGCTTAACGGAGGAGGCGGAGCGCCTGCGAGGTAGGCAGGCCCGCCGCGCTCCGTGCCGCGCCGCGCCGCCGGGCGCCTGGGAGGCCACTGCGCTCTGTCCCCAGGTGACGCATCGGACTCAGCACCATTCAATATCGGGGCCAGCAAAAACTTCGAAGACCGTCATGCCCAGTTTACAAATGGAGGTCCACGCAGTGAGCCCGAGATGGGTTTGACTGAATTGTGGGACTCCATCCACCTCTTTGAAATTAGCGTCTCTTTCAACAAGAACGAATGGCTTATCTCGCAGCTTAATGTAATGAATGAGATGAGACTGCAAGCGGTCATACTGGCCGAGGTGGTCCTCGGTCTTGCCTGTGAGATGGGCGGTAATTTTCGGGACCAGCCATTCTTTCTCTAGATAGAACTCTTCGATTTCGTCAAGACTGTATTCATCTTGTAGGAAACCTTTTTTCCAGATCTGAACCGTGTCTGTGGCTTGCGAGGCGACCAGTTCTTTCTGATTCCAGTGGTTGAGCATGAAGCGGAGCGATTCCATCGTGGCGACTGGTGTACGCGTACTGATGCGTGTGGCTGGAACGCGCCCCCTTTTATGCCGCAGCGCCGCGATGCGCGCGCCGCCTTGTGGTCAAATTTTGTACTAAGTGCCGCGCATGCGCAGGTGCGCCGCCCCCGCCGCGCTGGGCGCGCTGGCTGTGCAGGGGTACCACTTTGCCGAACTAAAATTTCTCTTTCGAGTTAGAAACATTTTCTTTTTTTGATTTTTTGTGTTTGTAAAAAACTTTTTAAAATTTTTTTGTGTTTGTAAAAAACTTTTTTATGAAAGAATTATTTTTTTCTTGCACAACTTTTTTGCGAGTGAGAATCACTTGGCAAAACGCATTTGCATTTATGTGCAAACATGCGTTTGAACATGCTTCGCACTACTTGATCGTTTTTTATAGGATCATCTCGAAAATATTTTTTGACAAATGAATGAAGCGAAAATCCGTGTGCTCGATGTACTAAGTACATGACACAGTATTGCCCACACACGTCCGAATCGATGGCTTGCAAACTCTTTGGATTGTACGTCCATTTTTTGCAGAGCCGGTCCAAAAATTTACGGTGTGGTTTTACTATCGGTGGGAGTCCGTAGGAATCCCAGTATTCACCATGTCCGTCTTTATCTATGTAAAATGCAATCCAGTGTTGTCCTGGTTTACTCAGTGGGTCTGTGTTGCAAATGAGAAGGGCTGGCCGTTTGTGTAGTCGGCGTGGGAGTGTGTCTGCGGCAAAAACGCCTTCAAACAACGGCGCAACGTGTTTGTCTTTTTTCATAATGGTTCCGAGTGTGTTTCCGTCCATGAATCTACACGTTGTAATCCACTATAACGTTTCGATTTTTGTCAATTTCAATTAGATTTTGGAACTCTGCGTAAATGATGCAATTTATAGGTTGGGCGAGAGCCTCACCAAACTTGACTTCTAATCGCAGTGTCCCCTGGCGTTGCAGATTCCAATGCGGTTCACTGGCAGACAAATCAGGTGACAGGTCGAAAGCAAAAAGGGTAAGCCCTTTCGCGTAGTCCTCGTATTTGATTTGATTGCCTTCGTCTCGCCAGTGCACGCCCGTTCCGCAGAACAGTGTATTGAATGATTCCATGTACAGTCCGTTCTGGAAATCAGGGGTCAGGGGCTGAGAGGGAACTGGGTGTCCGTCCACCATTAGACTCAAGTAGTTCAAGTTAAAGTGTTGGAAATTGAATCCATTCCGTTGGTAATCTCCATTAAAACTTCGGTTGTCGACGAATCCAATCACAATTCTTTGAGGCATTTGATTCATGAAAAGATTATCGATATTTTTGTCACGTAGTCCCTGACCGATAGTGACTGTTTTAATGTCTACTCGATTGACTGCGTACTTGGCAGGGGCTTTTTCCAGAGCCTGTGCGTGTGCCAGCAGTATCGTGGGTGAAATAACGACTTTTCGTACGTACAAAGTTGCGTCTAAAAGTCTTATTTTTTCATTCCCAGCCGTGGACATGAGAGAGAAAGCGTCTCGATTCCGAATGAATTTCAGGCGTAGTTCCACATTATTGAGTAAGAAGTGATCTTGATTGAAAAAATCAATGTGCAACGGGCCCATCATCTCAAAGGGGCGACTCCGCGCTGTGCGCGCACGGCGCCACGCCAGGCCGAGGTTCTGGGCTCCGTCCAGAGAATCAAAGTGGCCTGGCGTGTCCTGGTACCACAGTCTCTGAGTCATGTGAGACTGTTTGGCCGAGCTGTCGTAATTGAGTAATGCCTCAATGTACGCGCGATACGGGTAGGTCATACTAGAGTGAGAAATCACCTTTTGGTTCAAACTCACGTCTACCTGGCTCCATAGTGCATGGAGCGCGTAATTCACGGGGACGGCATCATTATTGTCCGCTGCAGTGATGTCACTGCCGTCAGCGTTCACTATCTTGGCCTTGACCAAGAGAATCGTGTGTGCCGGGTCCAGGTATTCGCTCCCTGCCCCAGGGATGCAAAATTCGAGGGTGTTAGACGAATCGAGCGTCGTTAGCGGTTTGTAGGGGACCCAATGCGTGGCCTCCAGAGCGGTTTGAGTGGGTGGTACCATCCACAAGTCTAGCTCTGAGCGGAGGCACTCGCTTGACGCAGAATGCATGAATGCCATGTTTTTTTAGCTGAAGTAATTGTCGGGAGCTAAGATCTTTCTCCTACGAGTACTCTTCGCTTTATGGGCCTTCCTTGTGGTCTTACGCCTTTTTATACGCCCGGAGCCCTTCATCGTGTCCGCTTTGCGTTTGAGTGAGTTAGCCAGGTTGTCGCCTGCCTGCTGGATGTGGCGCTGGGCACTGTCCCGCAGGCCCTGGCCTCCTGCCACGTCAGCAAGGACGTGACTGCTGGCGCGCACCGCTTCCTTCCCTACGGCCGCGGCGCCACTGCGTAGGACGGGGAGAATGGAGCGAAATAAACCTCCGAGCCAAGAGCCTAAACCGTAGCCTTTCTGGTACTGCGCGCCGGCGTAATAGGGTCCTGAGCCTGCTCCTCCTCCGGCTTGATTGAGATAGTATTGAGTGATAACGGTCATCGTGTTACTTTTTTCGAAAATGAACTAAGAGTGTCAACGTTCCGTATTCAAATGGTATGAGACGGCCAGCGTGATCCCTTATATAGGTCTGAACCACTCTAAAAAAAATGCTTCTTAAATTTCATAATCTGGATTTGAAGTTATTTGTAGAACAATGGATCTTAAATTTCATATCCAAAAAGTTCTTAAATTTCATAACTTGCTGTTCTAAACTTTCAGAAGTGGTTTATGAAATGTAAGAACTAGTTTATTAATTTTTTAGAATCAATTGGTTTTGAAAATTCACATTTGGTTCTGAATCTCTACAACCAATATTATGAAACATGATATTAGTTTCATTACTGCCCACAAAATGTATAAATAAAAAATAATAATAAATAAAACCTTTATCCCTTTCTTAATGAATATGTTACAAATGATGAAATCTCAGAAAGCTATGATTTCTTTTCACACTCAGTATTATCGCAAATCGTTGCAGCTGGCCAACGGAAATAAGCATTGTACTGTAGTGCAGTCGACGCTGTTAACAGTCAGAGGCGCAGCAGAGGCGCAGCAGTGCATAAGATCCAGATGCACTTTAGGGAAACTCGGTCGACACGCAGAAACTACTTTGGGGACGAGGATGAAAGAGGAGAAGCGAATTGACATAATACGCCACCCACACGTTCATCGCCCGTCCCTACAGTTAAGAAGATGGAATAACAGCACTCAGTAACACCGCTTTTGGCGAAAACACGTCCTTTTTCCGAGGGTCGCCAAAATAGCTTGTAACTCTTGAACACGAGTGGTGGCTGTTCGGCACCACAAGCAACACTTTAACTGCACTCTACGCACTACGCGCACTAACGGTACATAGCGAAACAAAATTGATGACGCGAACTTGCGGTGACGCGGACGCGAACTGGATACGCTGTGCACAGCACTGGAGACAAAGACACACTAAAAGTGACGCAGTGTCGCCGAAATCCCGTGTGGCCGAGGGATTACGCGACCCCTCGCCGGGCACAGGTAGCTTCGGCTTCGGCCGGCAGGCCGGCGAGCGGTGATTTCCGTGGAAGCAGCGCCGACTCGGCTCGGGGCGGCTCGGCTCGGCCGGCTCGGGGCGGCTCGGCTCGGCTCGGCTTGGCCGGCTCGGCTCGGCTCGGCTCGGCTCGGCCCGGAGGACGGTGGCCGGTCAGGCATTGCAAGGGACGCGATTTGCAGTCTCTTGGGAAATACTACACACAAATTTTGAACATGCATTAACTGGAGCATGCCTGCAAGTACGCTCCAACAAGCGCATGCCCGCCAAGCATGCACTAACTAGTGCATCATGCCATGTACACGCGAACTGAAGCAGACAGCTCTCCATACCTCTCATTAATGTAATAACTGTATGCACTAAAAAGTAGTAGGCATACGCTAGCAAAAGCGTGCTTGCTCCAGTTAGTGCATAAAATGTACGTTTTTCAGTTTGTAGACCGCCCCTAGGACTCCTACCTTAGCGGTTCGGAAAATGTTAACACATGCCGATAAAAATGAAAACTTCACCTCTTTATTAATTTAACCATGAATAAAGGACTAGGCAGCAGGACTAAACGGTTTAAAATTTCAGAACCTTGCTCTAAAATCGGCTAGCGTTATAAACTTTCAAAGCGAAAATCTAGATTTTAAGAACCAGAGTTATAAGTCACTCTGTTCTAAAAGTTTATAACCAGTTAATCTTAAAATCCATAACCCAAATCTTAGGTTTCATAACACGATCTTAAATTTTATACGAAGGTTATAAAAATTGAGGTTTAGAACGTGATTATGAAATTTTAGACTCCTTTGGATATAAAATTTCATAATTTTTTTTAGGATTTGGTACATAAATCAAAGTATATCGGGTGGTCACAGTGAACGACTGACATAGTGCCGTACTGTGCTTTGGTGTCCACGGGGACCGTGCGTAAAAGGGGAGCCCTCATGTGCCCAATTATCTGATCAGAGAGAATATTCAAGTAAATGAAAAGTTGCTGGGGAATGCCCAGAGAGAGGTCGACAGGCTTCACGCCATAAAGCTTCTGATTGGCTGGAAAAGGGCCGTGGCCTTCTAGGCCGAGCTGTAATGCGAGGCGAGGGGAAAAAAATACTTTTCCGTTTTCTCCGGGCAAAAAAGGCTCAAAAATAATACGGCCTTCGCTGTCTTCTTGGAAACATTTTCCTGGCCTGATATTATTGGCCACTAGCGCAAGAGCATCGCTTACTGCTGAAATGAACTCTTTTTTGCTGGGGTAACAACCAGGTTTGACTGTCAAAATGTCTGTCATTTGATCTGTTTGTAAAATGATTTCGTTTTCTCCCTCAGTGAGTTGCGCAATAGTGTTTGGGTAGTGTAGTTCGACCAAGGCCGCTTGCCACTCTCCGTGGAGTTCCATGCGGTTGGCTAATTGAGTCTTAAAATGGGACGTTTTGTTGTCAGGGTACACGTCTGGGCTTGCATTACTGGGAAGAAATGCGTAAAAATCCATGATTATTTTTTCACAATATCGGAATCACGAATCCAGGAGCGACTTTTTTTCGGATAACCTCTCCAATGAACGAAATGTTTCAGACTGTTTCCTTTTCCCTTTGACTTCACTATATATTCGATTTGGAACACCTCTGGCTTCGTGATTTTTTGCATCTCACTCTCGTAGAACGTCCCGAGAATTTTATCCTGATCGAGATCCTGGAGCCTGTACACCGGCATCGCATGAGGAATGACCTGAATGACCTGAAGAACTTCAGACCCCCAATTCCATGTGTAAGATTTTTCGAATCTTTTTTTCTCTCGGGTGATTCTGACATAATCTCCTATTTTAAATTTCGGTTTCTGTGATTTAAATGATTTATTATGATACAAGTTATTATATACTTCAAGGACTCGTTCCGGAGTCACGTCTACCGGCCTCATCTTTATTGAACGATGATAAGATTGGTTGTACGACTGGACAATTTTTTCTAGTGTACCATCGATGTAACAGTAATTTCCAGTGGCTGTAAAGTATCTGAACAATTTTGATTTGATTGTTCTCTGCCAGCGTTCAACTATGCTGCATTTAATGTCGGGATTATTTGTGGCAATGTACGTAATATTGTGTTTTTTCAGAAATTGTTGAACAATTTTATTTTTATATTCTGTGCCTTTGTCTGAAAAAAGTCGCACTGGCCGGGGTGA